GACCAGCAGGACCTAGCTCTCCTGGTTCCCAGCCCAGGACCACACAGTCCCCTCCAGAAATGCTGGAACAGAAGCACTTCTGGGCATCTCTCCCCCTCCTGCTATGGGCAGGGGGAGCAGGAAGAATGCAGAGACACCAGCCTTGCCTGGGGAGGAGAAATTTGATTGTTGCTGTGAGGTTGGCCTCCTAGGAACTGCAAGGCTTGTGGCTGACGGAGAAACGGAAAACGTCATCAGTCATCCAGAGGATGCCCTGGCTTGGAGCTGCTTTATAAGATAAGTGTCCTTGGCTTCTGGGCTAGGTCAGACAAAAAGAAGTTGTGAGGGGTGTGTGTGTGTGTGTGTGTGTGTGTACATGCACACGTGCGTGCATGCACATATGCATGAGTGTATATATATAGATATGTATATGCAGAGAGGACATTTTAAAGAGAATCCCAGGGAAAGTCATGCTTATTCTCAAGGAAGGGAGCAATAGTGGTAGAATCTCGGGCAGCTGGCATTTTTGGCTGGGAGATGCCTGAGGTAAGTGAGTAGATGTGATCATGGATACTGGGGTTCCAAAGGGCCAGGCCTGGGCACTTAAGGTACGGTTGGTGTGTCTCGCAGGTCCCTAAACACCCATCAAATGTCTCCCAGGTCTAGTTGGACCCTGGCTATGTCTCAATAAGGTTGGGGGAGAAGGGTCTTCATGAGGGAGACCCCTCTAACCCTTCCACATAAAGCCCTACCAAGGCCCAGGGAGAGGAAGGCAAATGGGTTTCCAAGTTCCCAGCTGCAGGGCCTAGTGACAAAGTCATCACCTTCGAGGCATGTGATCCTTTTGCACAACTGATTCTCACCCCTAGAAAGGGCTCCAGGAGTTTGGGAAGGATCCGTGGGCCTCCTGGGTCCTGCATATGGCTCTGTAGCACTGGCAGGTATAGGAAGCTTTTGTTACATTTATTCATCCCTTCAACAATGAGCACCTACTATGTGCCAAACATGTTTCTAGCACTGGGAGTACAGCAAGAACCAGTTAGACCAAAATTCCAGCTTTCATGGAGCTTGCAATCCAGTAGGGGAGGCGGTGGTTGGGAAAGACAGTGTAAGTACAAGGCTCAGCCTGCGGGGTCATGATTCGTGATTAGAGAAAAGGCAGCAAAGGAGAAAAGGGAATGAGGTGGGATGGGGTGCCATTTTAAATAGGGTGTTCAGCAAAGGCTTCACTGAGGGGGAGAACTTAAGCAGGTCAGGGAGTGGGCTTTGCAGATATTGAGGGGAAGGACCTTCCAGGCAGAGGAAACAGCACACGTAAAGTCCCTTGGATGTGAGCATGCCCAGTAAGGTTGAAGAAGGAATGGTCAAGAGGCAAGTGTGGCTAGGGTAAATGAACAAGTGGGTAAGGCGTGAGAGATGAGGTCAGAGAAGCACAGCAGCCCAATTGGTTGGGGCCTTGTAGGCCGCTGTGAGTGATGAATCCCGGTTTGGGGGGACTTGAAGCTTACATAGTCCAGGGGGACAGCCTCAAGATAGATAAATCAATTCAGGGCCTTGGAAGGGGCTTGTGCAAGTGAGAGGCCCAGACACTTAAGCTTTGCCAGTCTTGCTATAAATCTACCACTAGTTGTGGTGAGAATTTTGGCTTTTGCCTGAAGAGGGAGCCATAGGAGAGTTTTGAGCAGAGGAGTGGCAAGACCTGACCACCCTCTGGGCTTCCTCTGGCCGCTGAGTGGAGGATGAACCTGTTGGTGGGGCGGGGAGGAGAAGAGAGGAAGAGAGAAAGCCAGAACAGCAATGAGCAACGTGGACTAGCAGTGACAGCCAAGGGTGGACAGTGATCAAAATCTGAAAGTGGAGCCGACAAAATGTGGTGATCTGGGATGTGGGGTGTGATAGAAGAAAGGTAGAAGAGTTGACCGCAGCATTTGAGGTCTAATCCAGTTATCCCCAGTTGAGGTGAGGAAGGAGAGCATCCTTGTTCCTGGATCTCATATTACCCAGTTTTCCATTTTATTTGTAATCTGCACCACTACGCTGAGGCAGAGCTTTCATTAATCCCACGTCACATATAGAGAAATCTAGACTCAGAGGGGTGGAGTAACTTGCCGAAGGTCACACAACCAGTAAATGGCAGACTCAGAGGGGTGGAGTAACTTGCCGAAGGTCACACAACCAGTAAATGGCAGACTCAGAGGGGTGGAGTGACTTGCCGAAGGTCACACAACCAGTAAATGGCAGACTCAGAGGGGTGGAGTGACTTGCCGAAGGTCACACAACCAGTAAATGGCAGACTCAGAGGGGTGGAGTGACTTGCCGAAGGTCACACAACCAGTAAATGGCAGACTCAGAGGGGTGGAGTGACTTGCCGAAGGTCACACAACCAGTAAATGGCAGACTCAGAGGGGTGGAGTGACTTGCCGAAGGTCACACAACCAGTAAATGGCAGACTCAGAGGGGTGGAGTGACTTGCCGAAGGTCACACAACCAGTAAATGGCAGAGCCTGGATTCCAACTTTAGTCTTACCAACTCCAAAATCCATATCTGTTCTGACTTACCAGGAAAAGCAAGGTTGGGGCCCTAGGAGCATGTTGGGTGGAAGAGGCAGTTGCTGGAGGAGAGGCACATTCCAGTAACCACAGGGGCCCCTGGGATGTCTGCAAAGAAAGTTCCCAGCACCCTCCTCCATGTTCCTCCTCAACTCTTTTTTTTTTTTTTTGAGACGGAGTTTCGCTCTTGTTACCCAGGCTGGAGTGCAATGGCGCGATCTCGGCTCACCCCGCAACCTCCGCCTCCTGGGTTCAGGCAATTCTCCTGCCTCAGCCTCCTGAGTAGCTGGGATTACAGGCACGCGCCACCATGCCCAGCTAATTTTTTGTATTTTTAGTAGAGATGGGGTTTCACCAGGTTGACCAAGATGGTCTCGATCTTTTGACCTCGTGATCCACCCGCCTCTGCCTCCCAAAGTGCTGGGAATATAGGCTCGAGCCACCGCGCCCGGCCCCTCCTCAACTCTTTCTTAAAACTGCTTCTAATCCACCAGCTGGGAGATCTCAGCTGTAATCTTGGGGAAACGTTTTTGTCATCTCTCAGGTTTTCTTAATTCACTGACAAGGTAGTAACTGCCTCAATCTGTGATACACATTTTCTAAAGAAGTTTCAACATTAGAATGCAAAGCAGGCTTCATCTGGCTTAGAAAAACCTGAGATTCCTGGGATTTAATCATCAAACAGATTTAGCTGCTAAATCTGTTTGATGATTAACATCAAACATTTCATAAGAAAAAAACAAACGGCAACGAAAACAAATGGCAATGTGACCAGTGTGTCCAGGCCACCCAAATGTGCCTGATTTCTCCCCCAATTAAACTCATTGCATTTAAATTGATATAAATTGATGGTCCCAGGTGCATTCACTCAACAAGTTTAGTATCCAAATGAGTCTGCCATTATCACAGTAACCCATCTGACTTGGTTGATATTTTTATTATTATCAATATGGATTGCAAAGCCCTAGCCCATGATTTGGGATGCCCAATCCTCTGACGTTTACTTGGAACAGCTCATGCCACTTTCCGTGGTTGTGCCCTGCTTGGAGCCTGGGAGAAACTGACACAACCGTGGAAACCCAGGACTTGTGAATCTTCTACCATCTCGGAGCTTTGCTCTTTTCAAACCACACCTCTTCAAAACCGCAACAAAAACCTGGGAAGCCAAGCTAAATAGTTCTTGTCCCTTCCAGCCTTCCTCTAGCTCTCTGCTCTTGGTAAAACCTACCAGCAGGAGCAGATATTTGATCTGTCATAGCAGCTGTGATATTACACCGCCCAGATGTTCTACTCACTGGACTCAAGGCTCAAGCTACAGCCAATCAGGGCCTCTCTACCCTACAGACCCGATGCCCACCCCACCTCCCACCCCCAAGAAACAGGATCCTTGGCCCACGTGGCCAAGTTAAATGGAATAAGTAGGACCTACATTGGGAGGGGATTCACTAAAATGACCCCTGTAGGGTCTCTATACCAGTGGCTTAGAAGGCATGTGCTCTCGAAGCCCTCTGGGGCCATTCAGACTGAAGGATGCCTCCTCACAGTCCTCAAACACCTGTATCTCCTTACCCCAAGGCCTACTTCCTTTCCTTATCAAGAGTTTAAAGAAAGTCTGCAGGAACCTTTCATAGGAAAAAAACAAATGGCAACGTGGCCAGTGTGTCCAGGCCACCCAAATGTGCCTGACTCCTCCCCCAATTAAACGGCGGTTTCACTTTACTACTATATGGGTGAGATTAAGGTTACAAATTCAGCATAAAACATTTTTTCCTGCTAGCGGAATAAGGCAAAAAGGGAGAGACATACTATTGAGGAGAAGGGGATCAAGGCCTGCATCATGCCCACAGAAATAAAGCCCTCGCCCTTTCTTGTATAAAAGATCCTTCTTGCCCAGAGAACTGGGGAAGACTGTGCACTTGGCTTTGTAAAAATGTGTCACTGCAGGAAATTAGATCCCAAGACCAAAACCAAGGCTGCAGCAAACTTTGAACTGAACCTGACACCACCAGGGAGCTCTTTTCTGAGACCGTGAGAGCTGCTGGCTGTGGTGGTCCCTGAGGTCAGGCCAGAAAATGGCAGGGAGACTAATTAGTGCCTGGTGGATGCCTTCCTCCCCTGGAGGGGTGACCGGAGACAGAAACTGGGTTCCCATTCTCAGGGAAGAACTAGAGGGACCTGAGGGGTCATCCAGTCCAACCCTCTCACTTGAAGACAGGGCAACTGAGGCCTGGTGAGGGTAGGATCACAGTTCAGTCAGTGGGGGTACTGGGGGTCACTCCAGTGCTGGCTTCTCCCCTCATCATGAAGCTACCTCCCACATGGCTGAAAGGGACCCCTCCATGGCCAATCAACACCCTCTACGATGAGGACAGAGGAGGTCCCTCACTCCCCAAGGCATGAGGAACAGGACGGGCAACTTTTCAAACAGCTCCCAATCTTCAGAAATGCCAAAAAACCTCACCCTCCAATAGCAGCGTTTCCAAACGTTTGTATTTTTAGCAGCAGAAGCCATCCTCCAAACAAAACCGTATGCAAAACTGCAGCTACAAAACAGATCAGTGGGCTGCTGGCCTGTGTGGGGCCTGGGCTGGGCCCTGAGCTCTCCCTTCAGCACCCAGTACTTCTTCCACAGGGCCCTATGTGAGCTCAGTTTGAAACCCCAGGCCTTGGTGGGGATGGTGGGGGACCTTGTAGCACTGGAGCAAAAGCAGCCAGATAAGGTGGGCTCGTACTTAAGACCGCTGGAGGGTATGGCTAGTCTCTGGGACCTGGACGACTTCATTCTCCACCAGGGCCTGGCCCCCATCCCCATTGAGCTGTCTCATGCGCAGGTTAATGGAGCCATAGGTCTTCCTGGAGCCCCTGCCAGGGACGAAGGTCCTCCGGCGGTACAGCTCGCCCTTGCACAGGGAGACCATAAGCAGCACTGACAAGAGCATGCCGCCCACTGTGAGCAGCCCCAGGCCTGCGATGATGCACTTGTCCAGGTGGGAGCCTAGGCGGGCGTAGTACATCTCTAGTCGTTCCATCTCCCGTGCTGTCACTGTGTCCGGATTGACTCGAGCCTCACGGGGGATGGCGTATGCTGTCACCACCAGGAGAATCCCACTCACCAGGAAAACCAGGGCGGAAACAAAGCCATAATCCACCGGGCGGCTCACGGGTTCCAGGCCTGGCCCCTCCTCTGAATGCAGGGACAGATCATCCCGCTGGGATCGGGGCAATGAGGGGACACCCCCAGGGGGACTGGGTGAGCTGCCCAGTCTTGTGTTCCTGGGGTTCTGGAAATGGGTCTCGTGCTCCTCTGAGGAGAAGCAGGCATTCTCCACACCCTCCCTGGATGGGGCCACTGGTCCCAGGGGAGCTGATCTCCTTGGGGCTTGGGGACCATTGCTCAGTGTCTTCAGTTCCAGACCAGGGGGAGATGCCATTGGGAAGGAGGGCCCCAGCTCATCCCTTGGCCCCTTGGCAGCTGGAAGAGAAAACAGAAAGTCAGTTGAATGTAGCAACCTCTACCTGTTGTGGAGGACATCTCGCCAGTCCCTGAGCACATGAAGGTGAGTCAGGCATGATTCCCAATTAGGGGTGTCTACCAGGCAGAGGGGGAGATGGGGAATAAGACAACGAGAGAACAGTGTGATCCAGCCCAGATCCCACTCCACCACCAACTGGCGTATGGCTGTGGGCAATTCACTAATCCTGTCTGGCTTCAGTTTTCCCACCTACAGAATAATAATACTGCTACCCCCTGGTTCACAGGGCTGGAGTAGGATTGAGATAACCCATACAAAGGACTCAGAATGCAAAGTGCCCAGTATTATCGATGAGTTCCTATGATGATGGAGGGAATGTAGATAGAGTGAACATCAGGCTCAAATCCCAGCTTCACCAGTTGAGCTTGGGCAAGTGATGTGACCTCTCCAGACTCGGTCTTCTTCTTATCTGTAAAATGGTAATGAATAAAATGCCTTCCTCATAAGGTTGTTGTGAGGATTTCATAAAATAGTGAGTGCAAGCCCCTGGCCAGTGTAATCCATGGACCTTGTATGAGGGAAGGATGACAGAGGGGTGGGGGGGGTGGTAGAAAGGCCAAAGTTGATGTGGGAACCAAGAGGAAGGGAAGTTTCTGGGAGGTGGTGGCATTGGAATCAGATCTCAGAGGATGAATTGGATATTTCCCAGCAATGGAATGTGATGAGGGCATTCTGGAAAGGGGAACAGATTGCTTCAGGGGCCAGCTGGGGCTGGCTCAGAGAGGACTCTGGAAGCCACGGAGCCAAGGAGCCTGAGAGCCATGCAGAGCTGAGGAGCTGGAGCGGGAAGTGCTGACATCTGCCTGGGCTTCAGAAGAAAGGAGGAGTGATGGGATGGGAGGAGGCAAAGTGGAGGACAGCCATCCAGCAAGGAAGCCAGCAGATTGGGGATGGCATGGCTGAGAGGGCCAAGAGGAAGGAGCAGACTGGAGGGCCAAAGTCAAATGCCTTTATGTAAACAGAAGGGTGGGAACCTGGACTAGGACCACAGGAGGGGAACCAGGAGGGGGAGGTGAGAAGAGGTACACTCTCCATGCTGCAAGAGGAGTTACCCCACCCAAGAACCTGAACACACACACCCCCAGACACACACAGCACATGTGCATACCAGCCCAGGGACCACATTTGGCTGATAGAAGTTTGCTGTGTTTTGTTCCTTGCCTCAATTGTTTTTGGTGTATTAGTTGCAAATGTATAAAAAGCAAAAAATTTTAGATTTTACATTTTAAATGTTGGATTCCTGGCTTCTCCTGCAAAATTAAAGAATCTGGCCACCTTAGGCTCCCATTCCCTTGTAACACTCACCTGGAGTTGGCAATCGGGGCTCTCCCCAACAGGTCCCAGCTCATCCCCCTTCCCTGCCTGGCATGTGTAATTCCTGATCCACAGCAGAACTGCATCATCCCTTGTATACACTGATGGCCTGAGGACACATACACTCAGAGCCCCAGGCACACAAGTCCTCAGGCTACAGAGACCCCAGGTGCAAAGTGGCTCACGTGCTCCAGTGTGTCTACACACACATACATGCATACACACATGTACGCACACACACACACACACACACCCCAAACGATTCTCTGCATTCTCATGCCGGAGTTTATTCTCCAGTACACTGTGGTTCTCTGTGTGTGTGCATGCATGTGTGTAAATATGAGCAAATGAAGTCAGAATGAATGAATGGATGAAACTCAAAGAGCTTCAATGCAGGACGACACGTTTTTCAATCTTTCTGACCTTCCTCTCAGTATGGACTAGCATCAGACACCTCCTCTTAGCATATATAGGGTCTTTCATCTGAGTACAAAGCTCTTTTCCATTTACAACCCGTTTCTATCACTATGTCTCTCTTTCCAGGGTCCCAATTTAGCAAATGTTTACTAAGCACCTACTAGCTGTTGCGCCTTGTACCCAACACTTCACGCAGGAGTATCTCACATCACCTTCACCAGCCACACGATCCGGAATTACTATCTCCATTTCATAAAGCATGGCCAAGATCCCATGGCATGTATGGGAGTGTGGGGGGACAGGAGTTGAATGCAGGTTCCCTCAGAATTATTATCATGTACAAACCAGCAAACTCATACTCCTGTGCCAGTGGAATCACCTCACCCTCCTTCCCCGGCTCTCCATCCCTCACTCATAGACCCTTCATTTTATCCAGCTGTTTCACAGCAACCGTGAGCACCTTGAGAGCAGGGATAGGTTTGAATTCCATTGGGTCCCCATCCTGGGCCCAGACTGCTCTCACTTTCCAGTGAATAGACAGAAAAAAGAGATACGTTTGTTGGTTAGCTTTTTACTCTTCGCACCAAAAACATTTTTCAGGGTGCCCAACCACAAACAGGGACCAGCCATATGGGTGCTCAGAAGTGGCCCCCAGCCACAACCTCAGCACTTTCCACCCAACTCAGCTCCAGGAGCGGCCCAGGAAGCCCTTTCCCAAACTGACATATTGATGCCTCCATGCCCTGGAAGAAACCTGGAGCTCCCAGATTCTGGGAGCAGGGCTTTCCTTCATGCTGTAGGAACCCAAAACTTTTTCTTAGGGTGCCACAGTGAGAAGGCAGAGAAAAAAAGAGGATTCCTCTCACCCGGAGTTAGGATGTCTCTCTGTTTCATGCACAGATTCAGAGAGATCAGTTACGCAAAGGCTGTGCCCAATTACCCAAACATAAGCAGAAACACAGCAACTACACAGCTACTCCTGTCCACCGTTCACACCCCACGACCCCCACCAGTTACTCTCTGATTTCATCTGCAGTCAGACAAGTCCTGAAAGGAACACTCCAGTTCCACACTCACTCCCCCAAGCAGCCGTTCCCACAGCAGTACCCACAGACACCCAGAAGCCACGTAGTGTGACCCCCAGATCTTCGGGCCACTCTAGTACCCATAGCCCTAGAGGGGGCAGGACTGATCACATATACGCACGCACTACACACACGCGCGCGCGCGCGAGCACGCAACACACACACACACACACACACACACACAAGTGCCCCTGGGAGTAAGATCCAAGCCAGATTCACAGAGACCCGCAGGGGCCCAACACCCCACCCACCGCGCGCACTGATACCGGGCGAGACGGACGCACAGTGGCTGTGGATGAAGCTTCACAAAACCCAGTCGATAGACACATGCACGAGTTGTACACAAAGCCTTGGGGCGCGCAGATACGCACACGCAGGTCCACGCTGTTGTACCCAAAGTTGCGCGCAGAAAGCCCCAGCATGCCGCCTGCCCACCGCGCCCGCGCCCGCGCCCGCCGGCCCGCAGTCCACACCCCCCTGCTCCTGCCCTTGACCACAGATGCGGGCCGGGCCAGGCCGGATAGGACTGGGCAGAGGCCCAGGGAGGCCAGGTCCCCTGGCCGCTTGTCCTTTGGCGGGCCGCGAGGTCAGGCTAGCTGTCCTTCGCCGCCACTCCCCGCCCTCGGCCCTCGGCCTCCAGCCGCCCCCCGCAGTCCCCTCTCAGCGTGCGTACCTGTGCCGGGCCTCCCTTCCTGCCTCCCCACGCGGGGGCGAAGGGAGCCCGGCGGGCGAGGGTGCGTCCTCCCGGGTGCTTGCCTGCCTCCCTGCAGCCAGCGTCCGCCTGCCGGGGTCTCTCCTGCGGCGCAGCCCGGAGGGCGCGGGCCTGGCCGCCTCTGCCTCGCCCTCCCTGGCTCCCGCCCCCTTCCCGGCCCGGCCCGGCCCGGAGCCGCTCCCGAGGCGCACGTACCTGCTTGCGCCGCTCGGAGCCGTACGGCGGCGGTGGCGGCCGCTGTGGGGGGGGTGGGGGGGTTCCGGGGACAGAGGGACGGGAAAGGGGCGGGGGCCGGGGATCGCCGAGCGCTGCGGAGCGAGCTCCGCCCGCGGCCGGCGAGGACGCCCGGAGAGTTAGCAAGGAGAGGGACGGGGAGGCGGGAGATGGGCTGGGGTGAGGGTGCGGGGGCTCCAATCCATCGTCCTCCCCTCCCCTCCAGGCAGATCCGGATCGCCAGTGCCTGGGCTTTGGGAACTGGGGCTTTGAGCCCGCGGTCCCCGGGCTTAGGAGCGGGGCGGGGAGGGGGGGGGTGCAGGAGAAGACCCCTCCCCCGCCGCCTGCTTCTCTCCACACCGCCGGAAAGCCCCTATGGCGCCAAGCCCAAGTGCCTTCCCCCCACCCTCACTCTCCCACTTCCCCTTTCCCCACCCCCCACCCCACACACAGCCCCGAGGTAGGACCCCGGATCCTCTCTGAGGTCCTTAGGTCGGGACAGTCTCCTCAGGCGCGTGCAGCTCCGTGACTCAAGGGCGCCACCTGAAGGCTTCAAGAAAGAATCTGACTAGCTCCCCTCCCCCTTTTCTCTGCTTTTTTTTTTTTCCTCTGTCGGACAGGGGAGTACTTTGCCCAAGAGGGGTGTTCTCTTGGGGCATTGCCAATGGCCACACACCCTTACCCTCCAAGGCCCAGCTGTGAGGCCTCCTCTCCTGGACCCCCTCCCTGGGCACACACACCCACTCAACCCCGGGGCCCCTCCATCTGGGCTCTTCTTTTGCCTGCACGGTTGCTCTTATCTCTGATGGTCGTGATTTTGTTTAAGGGTCAGCCTCCTCCATCGGACTGGCAGCTCTTGGAGAACAGGACCCATGTCTGATCGCCCAGAATGAACTAGGTGGGTGTGGGTGAACAAGCTGTGAATAGGGGTGACTTTCACTTCTTTCCTTTACAGGGCCGGGGTTAAGATGAGTCAAGTGAAGTGCCTAAAGTACCAAATTCAGGGAGACATTTCCTCTTTGGGGAACCCATGCCAACCCCAGAGAAAGGGGTTTGGTCTGATTCGTGCAGGTTTCGGGAAGACACGTGACCAGCTGAATCATGTGGTCTCGGGCAGTACCTCTGGCCTCTGAACCTCTGTCCATTTCTGTCGATGAGGATCGTGAACGTGAAGCCTTCGAGGGCTCTGGGAGAGCCGCCAGAAGTTGGCCATGTGGAAGGACAGGCGAATGAGAGTGCCATGTCCTGTTCCTTGGCAATCTCATGAGGGGAGCCTGACCTGTCCTCCTCCAAAGTTCTGTGCAGTCCTCTCCAACCAGGAAACTGGAAGTCACCATGGATGATAGATGCCTGTGCCTTCAAGGCCAGCATAGCCTTGCCCTAGGTAGGACCACCAGGGCTGGGAAGGCCTCTGTTTCCTCCCAGCCTTGCAGAGGCCTGGCCTGTTGTTAGAGACTTCAAAGGGATGCCAGCCCTGGCACCACACTCCTGTTCAAATCCCAGCTCCACCCCCACAGCTGGGTGCCCTGGTGTAAAGGACTCCCCCCCTGGAGCTCAGTTTCCTCCTCTGTGAAATGGATGTAGGAAGCCTTATGGGAATGAGATGAGATGCCTCCCTTAAAGCACTCACTGTTCCTTCCCTCGGTCATGCACTGTCCTACCTCAGCCTTGGCTGTTCCTTCTGCCTGGGACATTCTTCTTTCTAATATTTCCAGCACTCACCCCCTTCCCTCACTTCCTTCAAGTTTTCACTCAAATGTCCTCAGAAGCACCGTTCCAGGTCATCCTTTCAAAACCAGCAGTGCTCCAGCCCTCTTTACACCCTCACTCTGAATTTTTCTCTGTAGCATTTACCAACTGCCATCAGTTTCTGTTTGTTTATTGCCACCTCCACTAAGAAATAAGTGCACAGAGAAAAGGGTTTTTGCCTGTTTCCCTCCCTGCAGTATCAGCAGACCCTAGAAAAGGGGCTGACACCTAGGAAGCTCTGGATAAGAACTCATTGGATAAAGAACAGAGAAAATGGGCAAATATTTTATACTAGTTAGCTAGCTAGACTCCATCCCTACACTCAAGAAGCTCATCTCATCAGTGGGAGAAAAGGATAAGTAAATGTAAGATTGCAGTTATAGTAAGTGCTACCAAATAAAGATACACAGTGCAAGCCTCAAACAAGGGTGCCAGTCTAGTCTTGGGGATAGGAATGGCTTCCTGTAGAGAGTGGATTGAGCTGAGATCAGAAGGATGAGTAGCAGGCAGCCATGTAAAGAGGGCAGGAAAGTGAAGCCCAGTGGAAGGATTAGCATAGGTGAAGTCCTCGGGAAGGAAATGTGATGAGTTTGAGAGTTGAAGGACACCCGTGCAGTTGTCATGGAGGGCTCAATAAGGAGCATGGTGGGAGGTGAGCCTGGACTTAGCAGGCCAGGTCACTACGAAGCCTTACAGGCCAAGGAATTTGTTCTTTATCCTCAGAGCAGTGGAGAACCTCACCAATGAATATAAGTAAAGGGTTAACAAACCCTTTTCCTCTTTTGCATAAGAATTTGAACTTTGGTTAACTGTCAATCTCTGTTTCCTAGAAACAGATAAACATATGTCTGCTATGTTACTAAGCAACATTGCTTCTGATAAAAATGACCCCTGAGGAGGAGGCTAGAATAATCCATGTGGCAACAGATTAGAATTGGAGATACCAGAATGAACTCATATTTAGCTTAATATAGATGCAGATGATTACATATAGAAAGTTTCATACACACACACACACACACACACGGGCTAGTACACACACATATATTTCTTTACTGTCAGGCGAGAGGGCCTAGAAGCAATGATACTCCGTAGCAACAAGCACATGTAGCACTGAAATCTTGGTTTCTAATACCATTCTCCAGTAAAGAGATCCAAGCTTCCTTAGAGAAATTGCTGCTCCCAATGGCCAATGCTGGAAAAATTTGAGGGACAAAATAAATAAGGTAATACTGGATTGTAACAAAAAGTATGAAATAAATATCTATAAGTCCATACAGATAAAAATTACTGAGCAAACAGGTAGAAAAGCTAAATCTCCCATTCAGAATTCCAAAATCCATATGTAGGTAACTCAGTACTCGAGGAGGGGAACTACAACTCCCATTTTGAAAGTATGAGTTTCACAAAGTGACTTCCCTTCTGAGAGTATTTTATGGAAAGCAGGGGGCAGGGAGGAAGTAACTTTACATTGGAGAAACCTGATGACCTCAGCCAGGTGATGAAAATCAAGTCCAACACTCAAATCACATTGGTAGTAGGTACCTTGGATATGATGTGGCACAAATGGCACTTGACCTCTGTTGTCTTCCTCTCCAAAACCCATAGCTGCAGTCTAATCATGAGATAAGCATCACACAAATCTCAAGGAAGAAGATTCTGCAAAACATCTGACTAGTTCTCCTCAAAAGGTCATCAGAACAAGGAAAGTCTGAGAAATTGTCACAAACAAGAAGAACCTAAAAAGACATAAGAACTCAGTGTAGTGTGGTATCCTTGATAGAGTACTGGAACAGAAAAAGGACATTATGCAAAAACTAAGGAAATATAAATAAAGAATGGACTCTGCTAATAACAATGTATTGGTATTGGTTAATTGTAACAAATATACTAACATAAGATGTTAACAATAGAGGAAAGTGGGTAGGGGGTTGATATCCTTTGAATATTTGTCTCCTTCAAATCCCTTGTTGAAATTCAATCTGCAGTGGTGGACTTGGGGTGTGGTGGGAGGTGTTTGGATCATGGGGGTGGATTCCTCATGAATGGTTCTGTGCTGTCCCCACGGTAATAAATCTATTAGTTTACTAGAGAACGGATTGTTAAAACAAGAGCCTGGCACCTTTCTCCACTCTCCTTTTTGCCATGTGATGTCTGCTCCCTTTATCTTTCTGCCGTGATTGGAAGCTTCCTGAAGTCCTCACCAGAATCCGGTGCTGCCATGCCTTTTGTACAAGCCCACAAAACCATGAACAGAATATTAATAAACCTCTTTTCTATGTAAGTTACCCAGCCTCAGTCATTTCTTCTCCATCCCTCCTCCTCCTCTTTTTGCTCCTCCTTTTCCTTCTCGTTCTTTCTTCCTCTTCTCCTCTTCCTCCCTCTTCTTCTCCTTCTCCTCCTTCTTCTTTTTTTCTCCTTCCCCTTCCTCTCTTCTTCTTCTTCTTCTTCTTCCTCTTCCTCTTCTTCTTCAGGCACTCATTCTGGCTGGAGTGCACTGGCACTATCATAGCTCACTGCGGCTTCAAACTCCCAGGCTTAAACAATCCTTGCACCTCAGCCTCCTGAGTAGCTGGGACTACAGGTGTGCACAACCAAGTCCAGTTTTTTTTTTTTTTTGGTAGAGACCGGGTCTCACTATATTGTCCAGGCTGGTCTTGAACTCCTGGGCTCAAGCAACTGTTCTTCCCCAGTCTCCCAAAGTGTTGGAATTACAGGCATGAGCCACTGTGCTCTGCCTAGGTATTCTTTTATAGCAATGCAAAATAGACTAGGACAGCGATATACAGGAACTCTCTGTATTGTCATCCCATTGTTGCTGTAAATCTAATACTGTTCTAAAAAATTAAGTTGTTGATGATGCTTTTAAACACCCCTAAGAGATAACTTGTATCTGGGCTGGAAGGAACTGTAAATGCCTGGTGGGAAATCATACTTTTGGCATACCGAGCATAGTGATTCACATAACTAGACAGGTCCCAAGACATTGGCTCCTGTAGGACATGAAACTTTTAAGCCAGGATTGTACCTGCACCCACCTGATGGGATTTCGTCTGGCACCTGAGTGGTACTGCTCTGCCGGAAGAAGCAGATTCCCTCCAAGAAGAGCATTTAGTGCTGTGCTAGCAAGCGGAAGTCCCTGAGCTATATCCTTCAGAGTAGGTCAATGCCAA